TTTTTTTATCATTGACACAATGATAAACTTGTTTGTTTTCTGGATTTATGAACAGACCATTATTTTTTTTCAGTTGGGTATAAAATGACAGTAATTTGTAACATTGTTTCAGGATTTGCCGCTTGGATTGATGGATGATATTCATGATTGGAGTTCACGGTTTTCTCAACGGATAGATGACCTTGAAGAGGTGTGTTGCAGCTATGTTAGTTTTGTTTCATAATAATGTTTTTGTGTGTGCGAAGTCAGAGTTGGAATCTGTACATGTTGCCTCATGTGGGAATTCTGTTAGCTCCCACTGCCCCCACCTATTCACAGCAAACACATCTAGTATTTTAACTTAAATGTTCAAAAGGTTATAGACGATCCTGGCAAAAGTTTTTATTTTACCATTTACATATCATTCTTAACCTCTCTATAAGCTCAGCCCTGAAGGCAAATCAACTTCTGCAATTCTTAATAATTATTGGAATTTTGCTAGACAGTGTTATTGTTGGAAATCCAAATGGCATTTTGTAGCATAAATTATTTTATTAAATAAATGTAAGTAGTTTTGCAAGAGCTTAGTTTGCAAATCTCTAACTTATGGAAACCAATTTATGATCAGTCTGTTATCATATGTGTGTGATTAATGACCAAATAAGGGGTCCCTTTTGTTGCCTATTGGGCAACACAAGTCTTGACTATATTTGAAAAAGACAAAGATATTGAAAAAACAAAGAAAAGTTAGAGTTTTGGGTAAAAGTCAGATAGCAGTTANGTTTTGTTTCATAATAATGTTTTTGTGTGTGCTAAGTCAGAGTTGGAATCTGTTGCCTCATGGGAATTCTGTTAGCTCTCACTGCCCCCACCTATTCACAGCAAACACGTCTAGTATTTTAACTTAACTGTTCAAAAGGTTATAGATGATCCTGGCAAAAATTTTTATTTTACCATTTACGTATCATTCTTAACCTCTCTATAAGCTCAGCCCTGAATTGAAGGCAAATCAACTTCTGCAATTCTTAATAATTATTGGAATTTTGCTAGTGTTATTGCTGGAAATCCAAATGGCATTTTGTAGCATAAATTATTTTATTAGATAAATGTAAGTAGTTTTGCAAGAGCTTAGTTTGCAAATCTCTAACTTATGGAAACCAATTTATGATCAGTCTGTTATTATATGTGTGTGATTAATGACCAAGTAAGGGGTCCTGTTTGTTGCCTATTGGGCAACACAAGTCTTGACTATATTTGAAAAAGACAAAGATATTGAAAAAACAAAGA